CTTGTACATACATGATTTTTTATCTTGCGAGTGCAACCTAAATACAGTCATTTATTGTGAATATATTGTTACACTATGCATTTGTCTCTTTCCATTCCCTCTATGCATTGAACGAGTGGAAAGAGAAAACAAGAAGGACGAACATGTTAAATTCTGACTACGTGCCTACATTTTATCGTACTTTTGTGAGTGCAATAATTACCAAAAACTTTCTTTGGTGTTATACAGTATTGCACTATATTTGTGCTTTTTTATGTTCATTTTTATAGACGGTATATTTATACATTGTAATGGAGCTTCCTGTACCCCAGCTGGGTACCTCGCCAAGGACCGCTTCCTAGCTGGAACAGGGGACAAACCGCAGCACTTCTGCCCACAGTCGCCGTGGCTTGACTGAGGTCCTGGAACTGTTGCCTCCAGAAGTTGAATGGGGAATTAGCTCTAGTCCTTACAAGGACTTTCCCCGTTGAATCCCCTGCAAGTTGGAACAGCAGACACAGGAGTAAATCTTCTTTCCCTCCAATAACAGGATGACACACAGTTTTGGAGTGTAGGCTGGAATAGCATTTTAATGGAGGCACACTGGCCTTTGATGCAAGTTCCACCAACAAGGGCGACACCCAGGTGGACCTTGTTGGGCACAGGGACACAAAGTGAACAAACTAATAAAAACAGAGTCATAAAGTGAGACACTCCGATACACAAACTATAGAATCCCTGCAGGATGCTGTGGGCAGGAGGCTGGCAAGCAGGCTTCTCCAGGAGCTTATGGCAAACTTGGGTAAAAAGGGGAGTTCTGACTTCAGTTTGTGGCTTGCAATGCTGCCAGAAGCTCCATAATTGCCTGCATCACCATGGCCATCATAATGATTAATGGAACATCATGTGAAATGATCATATCAATGAATTGTAACTGAAATATTCTCTCACATGCATATGCAAATATTCTCTCACACAGGCAGCTGGTGCTTATTGATTGAGAAGATTTTTTTCACTTCACACTGTAAAACTACTTAATATGTTAAAAACAGGTACTATATACTTAGCCAACTAAGCAGTGGGTTACCAGTAATGATAAAGTGTGCAATAAAAGTATATAAGCTTACTATACAGAATGTTGGATTTTAATATTACTGGTAACCTATAGTTTAATATGTGTAGTATATTGAGTAGTTTTAATAAATATTTTATTTGATAACCGGTCAATAGTGCTTTTGCCTGGTGATTCTGGAGTGGAATAAATCCTTAGCCCTTATGCAGATTATAAGATTATATAGAACTTGATCACTGCTCTTAAAAATATGAATGGTTATAAGAAAAAAAAAAACTTATGAAAGATTTGAATTACGGTATACACAATGAATGCCTTTCTCTATAGTGTTATAGCACTGAAAAGCTGTAGATTTATTATTAAGGATACTGTTTGTAATATTGTGAAGTTGATATACATTATATGGACAAAGTCAGAGGCGTAAGTAGTAACCACTGGTCCCGATGCAAAAATTGCCCTGGGGCCCCACCATACCTCCCCCACACACACATGCAGACATAAAGATACACATGCAGACACACACATGTAGACACACATATACATGCAGACACACACATACATACACACATACAAACACACATGCACACCGAGACCCATCATGCAGACATACATACACAGTCACACACATGCACTCATGCACACACATACACTCAAAGACACACACACATTAAGACACACACATACACTTCGACACATACACTTTCAGACACACACACATATACTCACGGACACATACACTTACAGACACATGCACATACACTTACAGACACATACACTCACAGACACACATACACTCACAGACACATACACTCACAGACATACATACATTCACACACTCAGACACACACACACATATACACTCAGAAACATACACACAAATTATTCATATTCTTCCTACCTGGAGAGCTGGCGTGGATCTGTCCCTGGGGTCCATTTCGGCTTCAGTGAGGCGGGCAGCTGTGTTCCCGGCAGAGGCAGCGATGGAGCTGTGTTCTCCCTGCTCTGCTCCCTCGTGCCACGCAGCCTGTCTACTGATGCCGGGAGCGGGGATATGACGTCATATTCCGGCTCCTGGCATCAGCAAACGGCGTGCGAGGGAGCAGAGCAGAGAGAACACAGCTCCCTTGCCTCCTCTGCCGGGAGCACAGCTGCAGCTCTCGTAGTGAGCACTTCCTGACAGACCGCTCAGCTACAGACAGGCAGGAGGGGAGCAGCACAGACATCCGGGAGGTATCCAGACGGCCCACGGTCACAGTGGTTGCAGTTGCGGCCGGGCCCCCTGGAGTTAGGGGCCGGTCGCAGGGGTCGCAGCTGCTAGGTACACCACTGGACAAAGTATTGAACACACATCTTAATTATTGAATTTAGGTGTTTCAATCAGACCCATTGTCACAGGTGTATCAGCTCAGTAAATTCAAGTGGCATTAATATCATCACACTAAAATTGTGTTGGATAGCTTCATGGAATGAGTTTACATGGCCGAGCAGCTGTAAATGAACATTCCAATCAGTTGTCTTATGGTAGTATATTTGGTTAATTATTATGCAAATATACAAACCTGCATTTTTTTCACAGAAGTTCGCCTGGAAAAAATAATTTACAGTCTAACTATGGTATTCTTATAATGCTGGATTACATGCTCTGTTATATCTCAAAGCTTAGCACGTGTGGCCTCATGAGTTTGTGCATTATTACATTCTTTCCCAGAAAACTTTCCATTATTTGTTTCTATTTTAGCTGCTCGATAGGGAATGCAAGTGATCTAAATGGTGCATTCATGGCCATCTAGCTTTATTTAGAGGAAATGGTACTCTTGAAAATAAAGGATGCTCTCTGGAATGCTATGCAATGTTGAGATCCTGCAGGAACGTACTTTTGTTGTAGGACAACACTGGAAGTTACACAGGCATAAATAATTCATAGAAAAGGATTAGTAAGAAAAACACAAACATATGTTCAGCAATCATTTTATGTGTGTTTCACCTGGAGAAAAGGGATTGAGTCAAATAACACTGACCTGATAAATAGACTAAATCTATTGTGGAAAAAATATCACTAATGCAACGTTTTGGGTATGTCAGCCTTAATCATGCATAACAACAACCTGCATATAAATAGATAAAAGGCCAGATATGTTTTGCATTCGTTTTAATTTTTGCTTCTTTTTGTTCTAGCTGTAAATCTATTTGAAACCGATTGCCAGTATTTTCCATAAGTAGTATTTCACATGTGAGGGTCTGTTTACTCTCAAGCAAAGTGGATATCCCATGGGGCAACCAAGAAACCGAGGTGGACAAACCCCTTGCAAATGATGATATGAAAAATAAAGGATCCTGGCATTTCAGCGGGATTTGCAGACTTAAATTAGGACAAAGATATAAAGTGATGACATTTCAATCAATGAATGTGGTCTTTATGAAATCCGATAATCAGATTTGATGAAGACAACATAGCGCTGTCGAAACATTTTCACTTTGTATCTTGAATAGAGTCTGCAACTCCTGCTGAAGTACCAGGATCCTTTATTTTTCATATCACTAATTTCCAGAAGAACATCAGGTGTGTCACTTGTAACACACTGGTAATACATTTATACATTATTTGATCCATATATCCTTATTTACTGCTCATTAATACATTTATTAAATGTAAATATACCATGAGATGTTGCATATTTTACACTACTTTTTATTGTGTCATGCGATAGGATATTTCTGGTCTTTTTCTATATTTCTGCACTTGACTTAGGTTGTTTTTATGTATGAATTAGTCTTTTTCCCACAATAAATTGATTGATTTGATATGCCGTGATTGGCATATCATGTTGCCAGCCAGTTTATGCCTTTAACACACACTTGTACTTCTTATCTGCCATTGAAATATTCCTCAATAAACATATTCCAAAACTCAGTCACATTTACTTATGTATAATATCCTAGCCAAATACTCCTTACATTCTCGACTACATTTCCTCCTTCAGCCTCCTATAACCCATATAAAAAAAAAAAAGAAAGGAAAGCAGTGCCACTACACATCACGTAAATTAAAAGAGCATAGAATAGGCAGACTAAAATGCAATATATATAATAGATAATAAGCAAATAGAAGTCCGGAATAAATAGTCTGACTGGTAGATGAAACAAACAACGAGGTATATCTTTGTAGAGGTGAATACAGTCTGTAGTAGTGGGGGATTCTTCAGAGTGGTGTAGATGCGTCTTTGTACATAATATGAAATAAAAAAATAACAACTGATGGTGTAGTATGTCCCTAAAGGGGTAGATGCAATAAAAGAGTATATGGTCCTACTCACGTTTTCAAGAGCTATGGACTTAGCTCTAGTGTTGATAACGTACAGTGGTATAATAAATAAAGGAAAAGAGACAGCGCCAGACAACCAGTAAGGCAGCAACCCAACAAGGGAATCCCCCCAAAACCCTAAAATACAGGATAAAAGCAAAATATAAAAGGAGGGCTGCGCCAGAATAAACAGTGTCCAGTATCAATAGTTATTGAAGATAAAAAGTCCGACCTAAAAAGGTATCCTCTCTGTCGTCTTTAGGTACAGGAACGCGATCTTCAGGTAATATATAAAAGATAAAAGGAGAGAACAAACGATGGTGCAGAATGTACGGTTCAAATGAAGTAAAAATTGATTAATGATAACGAACTCACAATTTCCAGAGCTTCTGTCCAGCTCTAGGGTAAAGCGCACACAGCGGTATAATCCCCGCTTATGGGATTTATGATGGGTTCGTCAGGGTATCCAAAACTCAAAGGAAACAGAAACAGCCAAATAGTGCTCTCTGTATAACTGTATATTATAAAAGAGAATAAAAAAAACGTACTTACAAGTACAGAGCAGACCAACTGTATAAATGTATAAATAAAAGTAGTTGGGACTATCAGTTAACCAAAAACTTTAATATTTATTATACAAAATTAAATTTCCATAACGCGTTTCGTCTAACAGACTTTATCAAATGGAATATAATCATATTATATTCCATTTGATAAAGTCTGTTAGACGAAACGCGTTATGGAAATTTAATTTTGTATAATAAATATTAAAGTTTTTGGTTAACTGATAGTCCCAACTACTTTTATTTATACATGTACCCTGGCTATTTATCGTTTTAGTTCATTGTTATATTTTATATATACTCTATTCCGATTTTAATACTATCTCTACAAGTTCCTGACAACCAAAGAAATCCATAGGTGGGGATTATTCCACCAGCGCTGACATCAAAGAGCAGTTGGTCTGCTCTGTACTTGTAAGTACGTTTTTTTTTTTTTTATTCTCTTTTATAATATACAGTTATACAGAGAGCACTATTTGGCTGTTTCTGTTTCCTTTGAGTTTTGGATACCCTGACGAACCCATCATAAATCCCATAAGCGGGGATTATACCGCTGTGTGCGCTTTACCCTAGAGCTGGACAGAAGCTCTGGAAATTGTGAGTTCGTTATCATTAATCAATTTTTACTTAATTTGAACCGTACATTCTGCACCATCGTTTGTTCTCTCCTTTTATCTTTTATATATTACCTGAAGATCGCGTTCCTGTACCTAAAGACGACAGAGAGGATACCTTTTTAGGTCGGACTTTTTATCTTCAATAACTATTGATACTGGACACTGTTTATTCTGGCGCAGCCCTCCTTTTATATTTTGCTTTTGTACAGTGGTATAAACCCGACTTATGGGATACGTGAGGTCTTAGTATTCTTTCTTGATTAGGGAACCCTATGTGGAAATAAAAGTGGGAACAGCAATAGTGCTCAAAGTATAAAATGCCAGAGACGAGAAGATAAAAAAACAAGTGGTTACTCACATTTAGTTGAACAGACTAACTGTTCAATTAATACAGCTTGAGTGGTATAATCCCCACCTAGGATTCTTGGGAGTAATATCCTCATTGGAAAGTAAAAACACTTCTGGTGCCGGATAAAAGGATGGTAGTAGTAAAAAAGTAAAATGATAATAGTAATAAAAAGTAAGATGGCTAACTCACAGTAAGAAAGTGATCAAAATACCTTTATTTAAAACAACATAGTTTAAAAACCACAACGCGTTTCGCCCTTAGGCTTTATCAAGTGGAGATCAGAAAGTACATCCTGTTACATACAGGTATATATAGGCAGTGAACATATTTAAAAAAAGGCGCCAAAATGACGTCATAATTCCGTTTTTTTTTTGTTTTTTTCTTCTTTCAAAAGTGCTAAATATTATATGTGTAAGTGAGTACATACCAATATGGGAAACATGTGATAGTTTAAAATTAAAAACGAGGTTTTATACTCACAATACCTTGCATATTATATTTAGATAGAACAGTCACATGATCGGCGGCCATTTTTTTTTTCTTCTTCAAAAGTGCTAAACTTTATATGTATCAGTGAATACATACCTATATGGGAAACATGTGATAGTTTAAAATTAAAATTAAAAACGAGGTTTTATACTCACAATACCTTGCATATTATATTTAGAGTCACATATATGTCACAATATATAAGTATAAGTATATACTTCATGCACAAAATAATTATAAAAGATAATAAAATATAAGAAATATATTATAAAAAATTAAACAGGTCGAACTGTACATTAAGACCTTCGGGGGTAAGGGTTTTTAAAAGGAACACCCAGTGCATTTCTTTTTGTCCCAGTAAATTTTTGAGGTCACCTCCCCTCCAGGGTAATTTACATCTTTGGATCCCAGTACATTTTAAAAAATTTAGGGTCTTTGTTGTGTTGAGTAAAATGCTTTGAAACAGAGTGATTAAGGTAGCCTTTGATAATATTTCTACAGTGTTCTGCTAACCTTATTTTTAAGCATCGTGTGGTCATACCCACATACTGGAGGCCACATGGGCACTCCAATAGGTATACAACAGTCTTAGTAGTGCAACATATTAAATCTTTAATAGGGTATGTAATACCTGTTTTGTTTGAGGTGAATTGTGTTGTTTTTGATGTGCTGTTTTGGTCAGTGGATCTGCAGACAATGCATCTGTTGCATTTAAAAAAACCTTTAGAATTTGATAAAAATTATGGATTACTTGTATTGACTTTTTTTGTATAATTTTTAGTAAGCATTGTCTTTAGGTTTGGGGCCCCTCTAAAAATTATATGGGGTTTATCTGGGATGAGTGTCTTTAAAATTTCGTCTTGTTTTAAAATGTGCCAGTGTTTTTGAATAGTTTTTTTCACAATTTTATTCTTATTGTCAAAGTTAAAGATGATCGGCATGGATGGTGGGTCTTTATTCGTATTATATTCTAAGAGCTCGAGCCTTTCTTTTTGTTTCACTGCTTTGAGGGATTCTTCTAGCTTTTCTTTTGGGTAATTTTTACTGATAAATTGAGCTTCTAGTGTTCTAGCTTGTTCGTTGAAATCTGTATTGAGGGAACAGTTCCTGCGAAGATGTAGATTTAATTCTTTTTCGATTGAATCATATTTACAGGTCAAATGAAGATTATGATTACTTAATTTTTCAGCAAGACGGAGCACTACCACATTGGCACCTGCAGGTTCGGGTTTTTTTTAAATGACACACTCCTTCAACAATGGACAGGTACCATGGGACTCTAAGACACGGTGCTACCTACACTCTTGACCCCGAAGCTTTTTTTCAACTTTACACGTTGCGACTTTTTCTTGTGGGGAAATGTCAAAGAACATGTTTTTGTGCCACTAATCTGGATGACCTCAAAAACAGAATCAATGGCGACTTCAGTGAAAGAAAACTCTTTGAGAGGTGTATGGGACAAATTCATCCTTTCGTCTCAATGTTGTCCATACAGCAGGTGGAGGGCATAAAGAGCATTTATAAAATGGTTAGGAAAACTTGATAACTCATTAAACCGTTTGTAATTTTTGGTGTAATTGTAACATGCTGCCATTGTGAAATATACTGCTTTGAATTTGGGTCCATCATTTTGAAACACCCTGCATAAAAATTTAGAAGCAGCTGGTTGAAGTGTGTTGGCTTGTGTTGAATAAATTTGAATTGTGTAATGCATTAAAACTAAATAAATATATGTGTAATTCTTTCAAACTAAGAGAGAAAAATCACGGTCATACATTACCACGCATACAATAATGCCTTCATACATTACATGCATGCAACTATACAAACACCAACTGCATATATTTATACACCACTCACACCGAAATAGAAAACATAGTCTTACACTGCAAACAAAGCAATACAGATACACAATCTACAGAAAATATACCATAGGGAAGTAAATGGTATGAGACGTGAAGGAGCTGGCAAGTTGTATGCAGCGATCCATAGCAATAAAACCCAGTAATGAGCACTATACATGGTTATCTCAAAAATCTCCATAGCAAAAAAATACAAAATAGTCAAAAATGTCAAAAAGCTCCACAGAAAAAAACTATAGTTCATACATGAACACACCACATGACTGAGTTTCATTGCCATCCGATGGCAGTGCCCCTCCCAAATGTGGGCTCTGGATCCACCCCTGTACATACATACACAGACACTCACAGAAACAGACACACGCAGACACTAACAATGCACCCTGTCCTCTGTTGCTTGCTTTTGTCAGGGGTTGAGAAGAGATGCAGAGGGGCTCCAGTATACCATCCCTGGTGTTCAGAGTTGGGCAGAAGAAGAATTATGCAGCAAGCAGCACAGATTCCCTCTTACATCATATGACCTCACATGCTGTAAGTTGCCTGGGTAAGAAGAAAATTGTAGAATATGATAGATTTAGTGTACCCATAATCTTAATTTTATTAATGACAGGAGGCAAATATGTGCTTAAGTCTCTCTTCACTAGAACTCCACAGCAGCACATTAACACAGAGAGTAAACAACCAACCAGAAAAAAGAAAGAAACAATAAAACTCCCTTCCCCACAAACTAGGAAGTCAGGAAAACAATGGAAAAAATAACCGTGTCTCGGGAGAAAACAACGAATCCCAACAATATTCTTCAGCCAAGAGGGAAATTCAAGCATGGCACCATCAATAAAACTTTAAAACGAGAGAAGCAGAATTGAAAAAAGTGATTAGCCAATGAAGTGTACGTATAAAAAACATGCAGCCACCCAGTGCAAAATCAGGCAATACCATAATATATAAAGATCCCCACCCTAGACTGTAAGAAAAAAGTGTGGTGACAAGTGACATGAATTAGAAGCACCTGAAGAACTGTACATCTACCTAGTATACCCAAATACCTCTTGATAATATATCCAAACAAGGGTAGGGGAGAAAAAATGTGTCGGAAATATTCGCCTCCTGTCATTAATAAAATTAAGATTATAGGCACACTAAAGCTAGCATAATTTACAATTTTATAACACGACAGGAGGCTTCATATTTACTGTTTCAACACTCAGCCAATAGAGCAAACGATGCACGTTCTGCTGGCCTGAAATAAAACTGTCGAAAGGTGTCCTTTCAAGACCAGCCCACTGAACGTAAAATGTCAGGAAGTCAAGCGCCAGCAAACAGGGCGCCTGAAGCCGCTGCGCCTCTAACCAAATGAGCAACCATCTGATCCAGCATGCTAAGATAGTGGAAGAAACCGGTTTATGTGGACGCACATAAGAGACTAACAGTTGTTCAGATCGTGAATCACGAAGCAGAGTTGTAACCGTCACACAGCGGGATAGCGCAGTCACCACGCAGAGTTTAGGAGCTTCGCGAAATTATGAGTAGAAAACAGCCATCGAGTCTGACTTGGTACGACTAGATATTGAAAAAGTCACCCCTTCCGGAGAAACATTTAACGCGTCGATGTCGAACCTACATACCAAGGGATCCTGGCCAATGGGAGTTCCCTGAAGGGGTACATGAGCCACCAAAATGGCAGACCTGGGAACATTAACAGAATGGTACGATCGTCCTTGGTCAAAGAGGTGAGAGGAAATTCAGAACGCTGGACACAGGTTCTGTAAAGGGATCGATACTTCCCTGGAAAGAGCCCAGGCCACCAAGTGGAAGTGGCCTTCCAGTATGAGGGGATGAGTATTACCTTGTGAGTCCGAGAGGAG